AGAAGCACGAGCAGAAAGAGAGGAAATCTGAGAGACTAAGCATATGACCTAAAGAGCCTGAGCATCTGCTTAAAAGTATTGCTGAATTATTGTACTGGACTCAGTTTGTTGAGTTATTCTAATATGTATACACTTCCCACTTCCCACATGCAGTTGGTTTGTGAGGAAGATCAGATGAGTAATGGAATTTACAAAAAATTCCTTTGAACACCTGGGGGTAATAGAATGAATAATTTTGTAATCCTGCTATTTTAAAAATTAAGTTAATAAGGAAATAGTGTCCAAAAAGCCAATTAACAAGAAAACTCTTTTATTGATAGAAAAGCAGAACAAAATTTCCACAAATTCTGATATCTGTTTTATTCTGTCTGTTGGATATACTCAAGTTCCAAAATCAGTTTTTTCTGTTGCTGGTCTTGTTATCATCATTATTGTTGCTTGCTAACCTCTCTATAGAAAAAAAAAAACAGTGAAATCACATGACCCTGCCTCATACAGGTAGGACCATCTTGATAAGACATTGTCCCCAATTAAAGCTAATTAAATTCTTATTCTAAACTAAGCATTCTTACATGGCACCAGTTGTATTATTAGGTTGGTGACATTAATAAATATTGACTTCAAAACATTGAAGCTGTTTCTCAAATGTTATCGAATAAATCAAAACCAAATCAGAACAAGATTTATGTTCAGTTCAATGATTAAATACACCCTCAATAAGTAGGTCAATTTATTCTAATGTAAACTAAAACACATATGAGCCACAAACACTAGTTCCAAAAAAGGGTGGCTCAGATAAGTGGCTTTTCAGATTTATACCCAAAGTCCAGATTCACATGGGAATGGACCTGAGGAACCTGACCAGGTTAAGTTTCTGGTTCTAATTTAACCTATAACTTCCACATAATATTGGCTAGCAATTGCTCAACTGTCACCCACATAAAAGTAGTTAAAGCGTGTCTACACAATGGAAAATGGAGTTTTAACCATTATCTAATTAATTCAATTGATATAGATAGAAACAGTGGAAAAAGTCAGATGCCAAAGGTTTTTTAAAAGCTAATTTATCCATATTTTCCAAAAACTACTTATCAAACTAAAGAGATTTACCTTTAGCTATGTAGATATAAGTTGTATCTCCACACCACAAATAGGTTGAAAATTGAAAATCGAGCCACAGTTCAGGTTTGTGGTCTAGATGGCCCTAAATCTCTTCTAGGTATTTTTGCTTTCCATTTGGATATTCAGACCACATAGATATGGTCATAAATTCATTATCTTGCTACATCTGAGTCACTAACAAGGAAAGGAAGCTTATCTAATTACCAATTCCCGCGAGTCAAACAGGACTCTCCCCTTTCATTAAATAAAGAGAAAGTCATCAGATTTAACTTCAGAGAAATAGGTGCATGCATATACCCGACTTCTCAGTATCCTCTCTGGATAAGAGGGTGGAACAACTATTTGGTTTCCATCTCATTCTTGTAATGACAGAAAAGAGAATACAAAAAGTCCATTGTAAATTTGTACAAAATGTATGCATATATAAATACATATCTATGGGTGTATATAAATTCTAAAGAAGATTTTATCCATCTACATCTTTAAGATTCAGAGTCCCATACAGTTGACATAATGGTATTCTCTCTCCAATTTTCTAATCTTTAAAAACAATAAGAATCAAGCATGCCACCTTATGAATACTGAATAGCAAGTGCAGAAGTTGAGCTGTAGCTATAGGGATTTGAAGCAATTAGTTTGACGGGACATCAGTGAATAAAATCCTTAAAATAAATTTGTCTATTTCCAGATTGCTTTTTGTTTCATATAGAATGAAATCCAAAATGCCCTGTTGGTAGCATCCCAAACTCCTTAGACTGTCAACTGAGCTCTATAAGAAGCAATGCTTTAAACAGGATCTCTTCAAATTGCTTGGATATGTGCTTATTGCAATAATTTGGTGTGGGGACTGGCATTACTAGAATTTCATGTAATTCCTTAACTCATAAAAAATCTCAAGTGACACCACCAGATTATAGAGTTCTGAGAATATTAACTCAGCATGAAATTTGACTCACAGATCATATCATCTTTACATAGAGCACTATTAAAAATATTAAGCCATAGTCAATTAATGGAGAAAGGCATACATATTTAAAGGGGCACATTAAGAACATATTATGGATGTGTACCCATGTTTAGAGGTATCAAGATCTTTTTAAACAATATATATAATGTTTTTATTTCTCCTGTTTCCTCTATTCCTTTGGGGAAAAATTATACAGGACGATTTCATAATTACCCCCTAGAGTGTACAGGCTGCTCCTTGAAAGGGGATTATTATTGCATTCCTTGAATGCACTATGATTCATAAGGCAAAATGTATGAGTAGCTTCAGCACCAAGGAAATGGAGTCATCATCCAGCATTGCTCACAACAGAACATCTTATTGCTTTAATAAAATGGGAAATTATTCACTGTAAAAAGTGCACCTAATAAGGGGGACAAAGTAATATCCACGCACTTAGTGGAGCTCATTGGAAATGAGGAAGCTCCCTTCTGAATCCCTAATTCTATTCAAATTTCAAGTCCAAAGTTCATTCTGTAATAAGGTATTAAAGAGCTATAGCTAGATGAGGGTGAGCTACAAAAATTAATGGACTTTCTTCTTTACAGTGCCTTAGTCATTCTGATGTACAATGTAGAGCTCTGATGTACTAAAGGATTCCCTAGTGGCCTGAGGGAGTTAATGCACTCTTTTACCTATTACTAGGAAGTGACTAAGGCACTGGAGAGAATCTGGTTCATTGTTTAATATATTACACTCAAAGATTACACCTAATCTTCCTAATATTACAACACGGCATGCTAAAATGATGATCCTCTGTGCTTCAGAAAAGGTCTTGAGTGGATATCTAATGGTGATTAAAATTTACCTTACTAAATTATTTTTATAAAAGATGTAGATTGAGTTTGGGCAATTTAATAGATGACCTAAAACCTCAGAGGTACTATTTTCTCTGGATAAGAGCACATATGCCTGGAACCAAGACAGAGAATCTAGAGCTACTAGTTACTTGGGAGAGGGATGCACTTAGGGGCAATTTTGCCTTACATCCTGCAGGTTAGTAAGGTCTCTTTTGGTTGAGCTTTCTGTAGAACATTCTCATTCATACATTTTCCAAATCTGTTCCCAAGAAAGGATGCCTGCATATAGTTTAAGATTATAATATGCTTCTGGCCTCTTCTATCATCAACCCAAGGAAACAAGTGGTAAATAACCATAGGTGGACTCCATTTCTAACATAGATGGCCTTATCTGGCATTAGGAGAGAGAACAAAGATATTGATCTTTTTCTCTCACTTTCTTTTTTCTTACTCTTTCTTCATACATTCAATGAAGTTAGGTAAGCCACACTGAGAAAGAGAAAGAGAGCACTCCTTTAGCTGCATCTCAGTTACAGGCACAGATATCTAACTAAACAAGCTGCAAACATTTTTATCCTACAAGCAGTTACTGGATTTAACTTCTTTTAAAATTTGCATGTCCTGTCGTCCAAATTGCCCAACATCCCCGCCAGTCTCACCCCCAAACACGTACAGTACAAGCAAGCACACACACACAACTGCCTCCAGGTGGTAATTGCATGCAGGGAGGACTACAGGCACTGTTTAAATATTAACCATGTTTTAATAGATGGCATTCCTGCACATCCATTATTTGTTTGTTTTCTGTTGTGGTTGTTCTGTTATTCACAAAAGAAATAAGAAAACATATGTATCATATTTTTATAACAATCTACTACAGAGTAAGGTACAAAAGAACACTTCTGGAAACAGCAGAAGCCAGGCCTGCACCACTGAATTCCTCATCCAGTGGTAATAATTATATCAACAGCTGGGAATTAAGAACAAGAATATACAGTTTGGAGGACGTAGTACAGAATTATAGTTCGCTTCTGTATTTGGTACCAATATAATAAATATATAACAAAGGTGCACTTGTTCTAAAAATTAAACTGAAACATTCTTGTTGGTTAGATACTGCACTTTCAGTACTGCACATCACCTAATTTATTTTATTTTATTTTATTTTATTACAAAAGAAGGTAACTTATGTAATGTTTAATAAGAAGAAAACCAAGAGTACACGCAAACCCGATTGTAGAAAAAGAGGAAAGAAACCAACAAAAAGCTAGAACACTTTCCAAAACATCCGCTCCTCGACTTGCACAACCAAAGAATGTACCCAGTTCTGAGACAATTTCAGCACCAGACCTGTCTGGACAGCTCCCGGATCCTCTCTGAATCCTGAAAATGCCACAAGTCAAATGTGTACAGATGGGGGAGCAGGGCAAGGACTAAAGCAGTAGATTCTTTCTTTTTCTTTCTTTCTTTCTTTCTTTCTTTCTTTCTTTCTTTCTTTCTTTCTTTCTTTCTTTCTTTCTTTCTTCTTAAAACTTATTTATAGACGTTTAATGAACTTATGCTCGGCCAGCGAGGGACATTTCTAAAAGTAAATTAAAATGCCTGGTCCTGGAAAAGAGAATGGTTAATTAAAGGTGAGAAGAGGGCTGACTGGAGAGCGGTACCTGTCATAAACGTTTTTCTGGGACAGTCTCTGGCCTCCTGAGGTCCTGGTGCTTAATGTTTACGTTTTCTTTATAATATACTATTGCCTGAGTCCGGCTGAACGTGGGAATGGGGAAGGGAGGGAAGCTGAAGGAAAAGTGGGGGTGAAGGAGAAGAAAGGTAACTGAACCTTAACTTGACAGCTATGTACAACATACCAGGCCTCCCTTTGTTCAGGGAGTCAATGCCTTTTACATGTTTGGTAGCTTGTGCGGTCTCTCCTCCGTATTGTGGGGGCGCAGGGTGGAGAGGGAAGACGTGTCCTTCACTGACAATGAGAACTTATGTGATTTGTCATGCGCTTGGATCGTGTTATTAATATTATAATAATTACTATAAATAATAATAATAAAGTATTATTAGCGTTATTTCTTCTTCCGAGACTTTCCTCGCCCAATATTTACAAATACCGCACAGTGCCTCGGCGGAGGAGAAAAAGAGTAGGGGGAAGACAAATAAGGAAAGAAGGAAGAGGAAAGGGAGGCCACAGGAAAGTGGAAGAGGAAGGCCGGAGAAAAAAGAGCAAGGACAGCAAAGATGCTGGAAACGAGGAAGGGAAGAGGAGAGGGACTAGACAATCAGGACAGTACCACCGTTTGCAAAAGGCCCTCGCCAGCTGGGTCCAAACAGGAGGAGGCTGTGTGCGCTCCTTGCGGACTGGGGGCCGGTGGTGGAGGCGGAGGAGCACAGGGACTCTGGCACGGGAGGCCAGGGGAAGAAGAGGCGTTGGATGAGGCGCAGAAAGCAGCGTCCCCTCCCTGCTTCTCCAGCCGGCTTTCTTTTGCTTGGTTTGGGGCCTGGCCGCCCTCGGGTTGGGGAAGCCCCCTGCCGCCGCGGTTGCCGCTGCAGTGATCCCGCTCATATTCCTCCTGAGCCCTCTGCATCTTCCGTTTCTTCATCCTACGCTTGTGGATGTGGAAGGTGGAGAGGGACAGCACGATGAGGCAGAAGATGAGGGTGACCAAGACAATCAGCACCAGCGTGGAGGAGAACGAATGGAAGAGCTGCTGTCCCACCTGCGTGATGCACGTGCCGCCGCCGCCTCCTGCGCCCGGGCCACGGGCGCTCGCGTTGCCCGTGCCGCTGGCGTTGGGGGAAGCAAAGGTCCGGTTGAGGAGACACGGCGGCAGCGCCAGCCTCAGCTCCTTGGGATCCCTTGCACTCATCGGCGCTGGGCTGGGAGGGGCCAGGCACACCAGACTTCCTCTTCTGGGCACACGGTTCCCACCAGCCAAGAAGAGGACGGAGCCCGCGCCACCCAAAATTACTCCCTCGTGTGGGAGGGGATGCGCTAGCGAGCGAAGGACTGAGGGAGCAACTGCGGGCAAGCAAGCCGGCCAAGGAGCGAGCGGTGCCCAGGAGATCCTCTCCGGCCCCGCCTCGAACGCGTGTTCGCGCGCCCTTTTCCTTTGCCAAGGCACCAGGCTGCAAAGAGAACAGGCTTAGTTAGGATCCCAGCTGCTGCCCGGGGGAGCGCTGAGAACCGGAACGATCACCGCCACTGCAAAGCGGCCCTCTGAGCACACTGCCTCAGCTGGGCGCCGCCCGTCTTCTCCGCAGCCCGCGGACCCCAGCCCGCCCGCCTGCCCCTGGCCACGCACCAAAGCCTCCAGTTCCGCGTTCGCGCCACTTTGCTGGGAAGAGGGTCTGCGCCGACACCGCGGAGATGCCGATTACTCAGCAGATAAAGCAGCCACCCTGAGCACTCCACAACTTTCTAATCGCAACACACACTCAGCCACGTCGGAACGCGGTCCCTGCTTCCCAGAGCGCCGACTGTCCTCTTTCCGGAGCCCTCTCAATGGATGTCTTCGCCTGGATCCTGCCTTTCCCAGCACCCACCCCGGGCCGCCGAGCCGGCCCCGGGTACGCAATCTTCCCTTCCCTTCCCTCCCCCTCCAGACTCTCGCTCCCTGGACGTTGGCAGATCCCTTAGGTCCCAATCCCATGGGGGTAACCCTGGAGCCACATCCCATTCCGCCTCTGTCCGCGGCTGAGGCTGACACGCAGGATCGCGCTCCATCCTTTCTCCATCCTTCTTCCCTGGTACCTCCCCAACCCCCCCGCCCCCGCCTCCACCACACCCACAACCAAAACACAAAAAAAAAAAAAAAAAAAAAAAAAAGCTGAAGCACCTTTCTTTCTCAGCTAAAGCACATCCTTGCAAACGCCCCCTTCTCCACATCTCTCTGTGCCCCCCACTTGACAGTATCCTGCTTCTTTCTAAGGGTGCTGGAAATGAAAGGGGGAGGGTTCCCGCCTGCAAAGTTTGGGGAACAGACCTTCTCTCGGGCCTTCCCAGTCCCAGCCCGAGGGCCCTGAGGCTCTTCCCGGGGAACAGAGCCAGGGAGATCCGTAGCGCGCAACCGAGCCCCCTTGCCGCTCTCAAGAGACAGCTGCAAACTGTTGCACTGCGGAGCAGTGGGGCGGCGTGCAAGCCCGGGCCGGGGCAGGGGCGGGGGCCGGAGCTACGGCCAGGGGTGCCTGCGCAGGCCGCCGGGGCTGTCCTACCCGCTCGCGCCCGGCCAGCCGGCCTCCTGGAGCCTTAGATGCACCGTGTCCCTTACCTGGGGCCGCCAGCTGGCTGCAAGGAGGGAGCCCCGCCGCGCGGCTGCAGTGAACGGCTGCAGAAGGCGCGGAGTGAAGGGGCCAGAGACCAAGCCGCGCTGTCGCCGCCGCCGCCGCTTCGGGGAGCTCAGCTCGCAGCCTATTGCCAGAGAGGCCGGTGACGTCAGGCAGCCACCGCCAGGGCTCCGAGCCACCCCTCAGGCCCCCACCCCACCCTCATACCCCCAGCACCTCGTCCTGGCAGAGCCAGCCTCTGCCACACACGTTCCCGGTTCCCTGTTGTTCCCCTACTCAGGGGCTGAGCAATAACCCCCATCTCCACCCTGTGAGCAACCCACCTTCCGCACTCCTCTGCTTAGGAAGGGCTGAAGCTTCAGTTCTCTGGCTGCCCGATTCCTCACCCTCCACCCTTTCCCACGTGGTCCCAAGCACACATTTTTACACTCTAGAGATCCATCTCCCCTCAGGGCACACAATAGATTTTCTCCCTCTGCTGAGGGGGATCTTCCCCTTCTCCAATCCTGTTTACGCTGGCCTGGCTCTGAACAGAAACAGTGCATGAGAAGGGCATTTCTGAACACAAATGTGGCCGAACCTGAAATACAAATCTGAACATGTATTTAACATCAAACAATCTAAACGAACCGTTTTCCTCTCCAGTAAGATCAGAGTCTCCAAATTACCTTTCACTCCACCCGACTCAGGATCCTCCTCTCTTCCCTCACACACTCATCTCCAGGCCCAAGACCCACTCCGTATATTAAATACTCCTATTTTGACAATCTAGCCACTCATGAGCACACAAAGCTCACAAAAGGCTTATAAGGCAGGAAGACGAAAATCACTCAGAGAAGTGCAGAAATGAAACCCTATGAAAATTCCAGGCATTGTGCCTCTTACAAAGTACCCCTTCATGGCCCTAATACTTGTTAAAGTGTTTGGTGCTTTTCTGTAGTATTAAAAATAGCCTTTCTGCACAATGGATAGGACTTCCTGAAAGAGTCTCATCAGCCTGCCTAAATCTGGGCAGAGACTAATCAACTATTGGTTTAGAACCCTTGGGAGAATATGAAAAGTGCATTTAATTACAGTAGCCAACTTCAAAATAAAGTGTTCTCATATGTCTACTGTAGAAAACAGCAGTCTCAAAGATATTGTATGGTCTTTGAAGGCATTCAGGTGTCTTAATAAATGTACATTTCCTTCTTCCCTTACTGTTTTGTTTTCTTCCCATCTTTGAGTCCAACACAGTGCCTGTGTAGTACTCACTTGCTAAATTCAGTGCTGCAGTATACATGGCTGCTTTTTCCTGCTATGCCTCAGAATTGAGAGAGAAAAACAATGGCTGATGCTCACCTATCTGCTTGCATTTGCAAGCAGAGGGTTTTGTAAGAAAGACAGTTTGACTCGCGAGGTAACGGTTATCTGTAATCTGGGGGTCCCTTCTTCTGAGCCTGTGTTGCTATCTAGTCCTACTCCAACTTCTCCTTTTCCTCTCCTTGCCCATGACTTATATACAGAGAAAGAAATACATCATTTCTCCCCCAAATTCTTTCATTTGTTTGAAAAAAAGTCATCAACTTTTTCTTCATAATTGTTTCAATTAAAAAAAGTATCTCTACTTAAGCTAATAGTATAGCTTAAGCATTAATAGTATAGCTTAATAGCAGTACATGCTGAATAATACATGGTTTCTTGAGAGCACGGATTGATGACTTTGGCTGCCAGAGTCACACAATTAATGACAGCCAATGACCCCAATGCTGGTTTAACTTTCTTGCCTGGAATGAGGACACCTAATGCCCTGTAAAAGACACCTGCCACATTTGGACATTCTGAATTTGATGGGCTCAAGGGCTAGAAGGATGAGCCTTGTTTTCACTGTGATCACTACATGAGACTTCACTATTGATGCTTGACATGCAATACCCCATTTTTCACACTTTCTTTGTTCCTGAAAAGTTGAGTCTAATCTACATTTTGTAAAGCAAATTCAATTTTGAATACCCCAAAATGAGTTTGGGCTATTTAAAGAGACTCTTTAGAAAAGCCGTCTTTAAAGCAAAGAAGTGTTTCATAATTAGAATTAACTCTCACTGGTCTGTTTTCCAAACTTGAAAAAATTAGTTGTCAGGTTCTCCCAGTGAGAAACATACACGCCTTCACAATATGTTATAATGAGATTACAATACGTATATAATGGGATTCCTTTCGCACACCAAGCTTCTAGGGCATGTGATTAGGCTGTCATTGTTCTTATTCTTTTGTTATAAATTATAATCATCTGTTATAGCACAAGTGCTAAAAGTGTTTGCACCATTTTACACAACCTATGAAAAGACAAGGTGATGTCTTGGAGAATTTACAATCTGCAGCAGATGAATGTGATCCACAAGACAATTGTATTTAACTGGAAATGATTTAGGTAGATTAAAGACATCAATTTTCAGGTCAAAAGCCCAGTACACTTTTTTTCCTTTCTCCTTCAAGAAGAATAGTCTGTAGGTTTATAATATGTTCTTACCCAGAGAATGAATGTGCTAAGCAGATAGACGTGGATATCATTGGGTAGTATGATTCAAGCCCCAAGAATACCAGTGGCAGCAAATATGCACACCTCTTGGTCTACAAGAATTGATCCCACTGAGTTGCTATATGATTTTGGCACATCTGGCACAATGACAAGACTTCTTCCAGACAACTTGTTGCCACTGTTTTTGCCACGAAACTCCTCAGGTCACACTTGCAAGAGTGGAGGACCAAGAAGCCTATGGGACTCCCATAATCGCCTCTTGTGATGGGAAAGCCCCTCTGAACTCAGGCACATTCCATATATTCAGCAATATTTGCCCTCAAGTTTGATGTGGATCTCCAACTAGCTTAGACAGAAGTGCCACATGGGCACCTGGTACCTCAAACCAAACAAGCACTGAATCAATAATAATTACAACAGCAATAATAAGTGCTATTATTATTTGCAAAATGCCTCCTATGTACCAAGCTTACTAAACTCTCCTTATAACAGCATTAAACCTCAAAGTAACCCTGCAAGGTTATTTTTTGCCAGAATACAAAATTACTTATTTATTCATTCACTTATTTGCTCAACAAAAATCTTTGAGTACCTGCCATATGTCAAGTGAGGAAGCTAAAGCTCAGAGTAGCTAAAGACCATGCCCAAGTCACCTAATAGTATAGTGCTGGGATCAAACCCAAGCAAACTGATTCCAAAGTTAGTATTCTTTTCATGACTAGTGGTTTCTCTCTCACACACACACCCACACCCATATCTCTATTTCTACCTCTGATACAATTTTATCTCTATCTCTATCTACTGCTGATTGGAGGAATGTAAGAAAGTAAAACTAGAGAAAAGCAGAGCTGTTTAGTTGAAGCAGAGGAGGGGTGCTGAGAAGCCTTGTCACCAGGATCCTCCCCTCTCCCCAGAAGCAGTCCACAAGATGCTCCACATAATTCCTTGGACTGAGCAGAGTCCAGTTTGGAAACCCTTGTACTGCGCTAGGTCACCTAAGCAGGTTATTCTAGAACACGGTGCAGCATGATACATGCCAGGCTCCTTTTAGATTTACAGGGGCTTTTCCAGAGGCTGTTCAGGTGATCGTAACATTTTGCCTAATCACATATCTCGACTACTCTGGCTCCCTGAATACCTACAGAGATATGCTCTGTATGTTGTCATATTGCTGTTAAATCAACTACTGGTCCAGCCAGCAACTAATTAATAAACAAGGTGCTGAATGAAGCTCTTGACCTTATTCAAATTATCTAGTTTTTTTCCTGATTCATTCTTCTCATCTGTAAAATGAGAATAGTATCTTCATTACAGTGTTTATTTTAAGTACTGAGTATATACTAATCATTCAGTAAATGGTAGCTCTTTACACTGTAAAGCTATTACTAAGATTAATATTTTAACCATGACAATAGAAGCATTATACTGTTTGGGACATCAAAATTCAGGAAAATTTTTATAAGTCTGAGTATTTTTATGGGAGGATAACTATAAGGGTGAAGGGACTGAAAACAATAATAGATAATGAGCAACTCAAGGAACTGGGATTATGAATCCTAGAGATGGGAAGACATGGAGGATGCATCATAGAAACTTCAAATGTTTAGAGAATCATCAACAGAAGATGAATTTATCCTTCTCTAGGTACTCAAGAGAGAACTGAAACATAGTGGAATAGATATATGGTAGGAAGTATATTTCAATTCACTATTTCATAATTGAAAAGATGTTTTTCTATATGTAACAGGTTATAAACTAAACCAGCCATCTTCAGACTAGCGGACTCATATCCCTGGGAGTACACTAAGATTTTTCCAGGGGTATATGAGTATGTATAGTTTTAAAGGAATAATTTCCCAAATCCTCAACCTCTATGTGTACTTTTCCCCAAAATGTATCTATCTGAGGTTAAAACTTACCCTTTGTCACCTTTCCTTGTATTTCTCCTACTTTACAAAGGAAAAACCTATGTTCAAAAATCCTCAGTCTTACTATCATGCATTATTCAGGGTGTAGAAACCTTTAGGGAACCAACAAAGGAATACCTTGAGGGTGTATAACTCCTGAGGTAGTGACAGCAAAGCAAAAAGATCATCTGTAAGAACTATTGATGGGACAGTGCCTTATTTCATCCAGGTGACAGACTAATTTTAAGGCTCTATGTCTATTTATACATCGATTTATCTTAGAACTAGAATTTGGAAGTGAAATGGTTGTCACAGGGATACAAGTAGTTCAGTTTATTTAAATTGAAAAATGAATACAGATTTTTTCTCACAGAAAGTAAGCCTGATTTGTCTATTTGGATTGACAATTTGCACTTGCCTGATAGTATGGAAGACATATTATACAAACTGAATGAACTAAATCTATCAATCTGGATGTTTTGACAAAATATATTTAAAGTACATATGTGATATGGAATATGCCAGAAATTACATTCTTTGCAACTGTTAACTTATGATTAAAAAGTTTTAGATGTCAAATTAAAATGTGCAAAGGGGTCTATGATTCTCCAAAATTATTTTAGGGAGTATTCAGGCAAACAAAACAAAACAAGTTTGAAGATTTCTATTCCAAAGTGTCCACTCCCTTGACACTGTCTAGAA